CGCCTGAGAAAACTGACAACACCGTTCCGATCCTCTCGATCACAGTCAAAACAGCAGCACGGATCATTGCTCAAAGTCGCCGACTTGTTTGTAACTGCCTTGAGCGGGCAAGATCTTGCCAAAAGCCATGACAATGACGTATTCGTTTTTGATTCGTCGTCCGCCATTTTGAAAATGGAAAGGCGGGAAGACGAACCGAAATCTACTGCGCATGAGCAGCGGTTTTTCCGCCGTGCCCACAAAAAGCAAAACTGCCAGTGAATTTTCTTGCGTTTTCTTTGGTGAAATTCCGTAAAATTCGGCAAACTGGTAAAAAATATTTTACTTTTGTTGGAGCTTGTTTTTCAGGGAAATCTCTCTGATCAGTTTTTCCTCAGCGCTGAAAGACATAAATTTGCAAAAATCTAAAAAAAACTGCCTTTTACAAACCCTACTTTTTTCAAGTTTAAAATTTGTATACTGTCTGACTCAATGTATTCTGAAAATTTTGACAGATTTCTCCGAAAAAAAGTCAAGAAAATCACAAATAAAGCCATAAAAAAAGTAAAAAATGCACTTGTTTGGGCATTTATAATTCAAGACTTAAATCCAGGATTTTAATAGAGATGATAATAAAACACTATTTCATCATTGCTTATTACAATTAATAAGTTTGAGAGGGCTGGATGTAATAACGAATGCAAAAACAGCATTCAAAAGGTGACACTAGTGCACACAACGCGGTATAGGATTACCCTATGGAGCCACCTTAATAGACAAGATAAGCGTTGATAATTAATAATGAAGATCTCTGATTAAACGTTCAAGTATGCAGGAACAGTAAATGTCAACATGCTTGTATAAATTTTAAAAGTTTGATAATTAAGCCTCATTAGTTTTAATTTTTATTCCTTGGAAATTTATTATATTTTATCATATTTGTACATTTCAGCCTTTTAAGGTGGCTCTCTAGAGTACTTACGAACACCCTCCCTATGGAGCGCGAGTTAGAAAAGAAAACTTAGTTAATTTTTCCTAAAGTTTTCACTGTAGAGATTTGCCAATATGGGTACTGTTAAAATAAGGCTTGTTTTTTGGTTGTCAATTTTTGGATTAAGGCCGTTACCATGGAAACATCTCATCTAATGACAGACAGATATAATCCTCATTTTGGCCTAAACTCCTTAATATTTATACTTTCCTTCGGTGAAACTTTTTCATACTTTGCCACAACATGGAAATGATATTGCCTGACATTTTAAATTGGTAAAAAGGTTGGTTTTTCCAATATTCTGTAATTTGTCATTCTTCTAAATATACTAGATTAGCTCTGACAGATTTTAACAAAAATTGGGTATTTATAGGAATTGTATGTGGCAACAACTGAGCCAAATTTTAAAAAAAAATTCACCGAAGAAAACGCGAGAAAATTCACTGCCAGTTTTGCTTTTTGTGCTCATGTTAGTTGAGCTTTCGTAATATGCGCACGTGCAATCGTAAAACCATAGGGAGCCACCTTAAATGTTCTTAAAGTTTTTATCATTTTTTTTCTCTTATTTAAAGTTTTTAAATTGTACTTATTTTTTTTAGATTTTATAAATTGTAAATATCTTCATTTCCCAGGGTCCCTATAGATACCAGGGTCAGAATTCCATCTATGACCCCATGAAACGTCCTGAATATCTATGATCAACCCCGTAACGCTTCCACTACTTCAGTTTGTATTGAAATATCAGATATATGAAAGCTCGTTTCCGTGAACCATCAACTCTAGTTACAATCACTTTTTGGAATAGGCCATTTTACAGTTGTGTGCTCAGTTACCTGGCCTTTGAATCCCAGCGAGGCTGGAGGTGACTTTGCTTTGATACAGACCTCTCTGCTTTTTCATTTAAATGACAGCTAGTTAGCATGAGAACAACTTGATTTACACGACAAAAGCAGTGAGGCCTGTATCAAAACAAGGTCACCTCCGGCCTCGCTTCCATTAAGAGGCCAGGTCACTGAGCAGACAACTGTAAAATGGTCTATTCTCGAGGCGCCTGCTAGTTCGAATGCAATTGTTTGGCCTAGACTGACTTCCTCGAGTGTGGCCGGAAGGGTTAGCTTTAAACCGTATTCGTTGAATAAACGCGCTTTTTTATTACCATTGCAGAATTCACCGATGAAGAACAACAAGGTTTGGCGACACATAATAAATTCCGAGCAACACACGGAGTTCCTTTAATGACCCTCGACAGACAAATGTGTGATCAAGCTAAAGCTTACGCCGTAAAAATCGCTAGAGAGAAGAATTTGAGGCACTCTTCAAAACAGGAACGAAAAGGACAAGGCGAAAACCTTTCCATGGGATGCTCCACTAACAGGGCACAAGCCATGGAAGAGGCCGTGACAAACTGGTAAAATATATTAAACAATTATTCCACGAACGCGCGTTGGATATAAGATGATAGATAGCCAACGAGGCGGGAAGCGCCTAGTCGGCTAGAATTATCTCATATCCAACAAGTGTAAGTGGAATAACTGTTAAATATGCCATGATGGCTAAGCCAATGGAAACTCTTTAATTGCATTAAAAACGCTCCCCAAAATATGGAAATAGAAAACTAAAATAAAACTAAACTAAAACGCCCCCCAAAATTACGCGCACTATTATCATATTTGTAGAGCATGGTATAATTCTTTAATGAGAGCAATTATACCACGCTCTACAAAATGTGGTAACCGTGGGCGTAATTTTTTTTTTTTCCTTTTTTTTTTTTGGCGTTGCCTATCTATCATCTCCTATCCAACGCGCGCTCGTGAAGTAATTGTGAATGATTAAAAAATGGATCATTGGATAAGACAATTTAAGAATTTTCATTGGCGTAGCCATCATGGATACGAAACATTATCCATCGAGTATTTTCCCCCACGCGCGGTTGGTCTAAACACGTCACGTGACCGAATATTCCCCAGCTGAAACTGGGGAATATCCGAGAATATTCCCCAGTTTTCAAAACTGCGTGCGTTGCGAAAAAGATTGGAAGAGTAATAAACACAATAGCCTCCATTTAGGGTGAAAATATGCTAGGATATTTGTCCTTGGACATTACCTGTTCGCTTCTGGGACAAATATCCGAGGATATTTTCGCGCCAAATGGAGGCTATTGTTTATTTATACCATGCTCTACGAATATGGTAAGCGTACGCGTGATATCTTTGGGCTCTCAACGAAATCCGTAAAATTAAAATCTGAAATCAAGAAAGCGCACACTAGTATTACGCGTCTCGTACCAAGCTAGAAGCACTCGCTGTTAGAAACTCAATACTACTGAGACGCAGTATTCATCTTACAAATCAAATAGGAGAATTGATGCAATATCCTTTAGAGAATTGCTTTTGTCAAATAGGTCGAACAGTTATATGAATTGCCCAATTTTGATAAATTAGAATTTTACTGACGTCACAGGCATATAGACAAAAACAAAAGAAGTCACAACGAGATTGACGCAAGAATATTAATTTATTGTCATAGTTTCCGCAGCGTAAACCTTATGTGATAATTTGAAATATCCAGCATATTTCGAAGTTTGGCATATTTATTACCAAACATATAATATGTCTAGCAAAACCCATGAACGATTATGACCTTAGTTAAGCATCTCCACAATGCTGGTGAAGATTATCTCCTATTTATTGTTAGTACAGTTAACCACAACTTGCGCATCTGTTTTAGGTACAACGAGGTCTGTGATCCAGGATACCAATTCAACGCAGGAAGCAGAAACGGAGGAACAGGTCATTTCACGCAAGTTGTGTGGAAAGAAAGCACGGTTCTTGGCATTGGACGAGCTGAATCACAAGAAGATGGTATGAAGTGTGCATACATCGTCGGAAGATATAAACCAGCAGGGAATTTTATGGGGGAGTATCAACAAAATGTGCCGAAAGGCAGCTTTAACGCTAACGGTTACTGCGCCGCGATTAAAAGCAACAGATTTGGATTTGACCAACAAGAAGATTCCGAGCAGGTTGTCATTGGCAAGTCAACAGTGGATTCTCCGGTTCAGAAAACTGGATCTGCTGAGTTTCGAGGTTCAAGGAAATTGAAGTGAGCAAGATGCGATGACCACAAATGTAACTGATTACGTTTTTGTGGAACTATTACTATGTGATCCACAAATTTATAACTTGTGAGAATTAAAATGAAAAGCAAAACGAGTGGTGGAGTTATTTTTCATTTCGCATCCTTAAAGGGTTGAAAGACACGTACAGAGGCCACACGAAACGGTGATATCATATCCAACAAGCGCGAATAGAATAATTGTGTTATTAAAAACGACCCGAAAATATTGACAATTAAAATCAATTAAAAACAAAAACGCCTCAAAATAATGACGCGTACATGTTCGCTTACCATGTTTAATTTGTAGAGCATGGTATAATTGCCCTTATTATTTCCCCCAACAAAATATCTTATTTCGGATTGGCCAATGACGAATGCATAGATAAGTTATAGAGTGCATCAGAATTAGAGTACAATACCGAAGTTGCTATGGAAACACCAGGGAAGTCCCAAATTTGAAAACCAAAGTGAAAAAAAAAAGGGCTGACAGTCGGTTTGCTCTGGCAAACCAAAACATCGCTGAGCAACTTAAAGAAACTGCAAAAACTAAAACACGTTGATAGCTACATAGACCTGGTCGAATGTCTGGCAAACATTAGCGACTGAAAGAAAATTAATCCCAAAACTGGAAGAATACGAACGCGAACGACCCTTTTTACCTTTCCATAATTGAAAATCCTAAAACAAATGTCTGATACAAGAAACAGATGAAGCAGCCGGTCGACAATATGACGAAGAGGATTATTTAGAACACATCACTGAAAACAAGCAAGAAAAAAATTTAAGAAACTCAGAGCCGCAAGCGTCGAGAGGCAATCTTTCTAAGTGACCAGCCACGCAAGTGAAGCATTTTAACGACTGCGCTGAAGGAAGCGAAAACGAACAGCAACAGCTTTCAAACATTATCAACATGACTCCACGGTCAACAGTTCCTAGCCAGCTGTTTTTCTAGTCTAGCAATGTGGTTTTTTCCTGCAATGACTTCAACGTGTGAGGAGGCGAGCAATAGCGGCCATGCTTTGACCGTGAGCAACGTTCACAACTGTCAAGTCACAATTAACGTGGTTTAGGGCCAATGAAATGAAGTACGTACAAAGTAGTGCGTTTGGGTATTAAAAAAATACAAAATCGTCTAAACCTGCTGGTACGTTTCACTCATGATGTTTTGAAAGTTCACAAATTACACTCGCCTACGGCTCCTACAATTTTCAGATCTTTCAAAACATCAATCGTGCCCCTAAATCACGAACTGCATTCGCGTTCATACGATTTCCTACACATATACCAATGAAAACTTTTCAATTTCATTATCCAATAATTATCCTTAAATACACATTGAACATGCACAAGTGCATTTCAAATCATGATGAT